GGGGGATTGGAACTAGATGATCTTTAAGGTCCCTTCCAACCCAAACCGTTTTGTGATTCTATGATTCTATGAGTTGAATGACTTATTCAAGCCTAAGGCTCCTTCTGAACTAGACCCAGCAAACCATATCCTCTAGTTTTGGAGGGCTTTGGAGCTGCCATGCTCCATGAAAGCTGGCCAACCCTAGCCCACCTCTGATGAAGTAGCTGCCTTGCGTAATTAATTTGTGAAGGAAGAGCAGCCTTCTGTTAAAAGTTAGCATTTGTGGAAAATAAAGCAAATCCCAGCTCTACATGTTATAACACTTCAGCCTAACCTAGAAATCTTTATTGGAGTGTGCTGGGCCAGTACCTTGCTGGAACTGCAGTCTGGGTACTTCATGCACTTAGCCATCCATAGGGGACAGGCTGTACATCCCCCATCACGTGATGCATACATCTTATAGTGAACCTCACTCAGAGAAGATGAGCATACAGAACAACCATACCTGCTAATCCCATGAACCAGCTGTATTCGTCCTACAACATTTCCAGTTTGCACTTTACAATTGTTTTCTATGAAATATTTTTGGGAAAACTGCTGACAAAAACACTAATTTGCCAGAAGTTTTTGGTGTCTTGACCAGCCTTTACCCTAAATTGCAAATCGAACCAACTGAATATTAACGGTCTCAGAAAATGGTCCGAGAAGTTCTTGGCTGCAACACAACCTCAAAGGGATGTGCCAGATGTTGCACAAGATGCGCTTCACCTGGCAACATCCAAACTGGATTTCCTGACGGCGCTTAAGAATTTATAGTGTGTTAAATCTTCCAAGGATTTTTTGAAAAGGGTTGCTGATATCAACAAGGCTTCTGGGATAATCTCTGCAATCCAACATGGAAATTCCATGAGTTGTGGAAATGAATCTATCTCTCTGCTGTGCGTGTAAACTAGAGAGACCACTGAAACCAGTGCCATTTCACAGCTATGAATAAAGGGAGAATTGGACCCGTTTTCTTTCTCTGACTTTACTGAATATAAATCAAGGCACAGACATGCTAACTGCATTACACAGATCGTGGTGACAATAACTTCTCAGTGCTTGAGAGACAAGAGAAATTGTCACTCAGCTCGGATCATCAGCTTTATTGTATGCCAGCCAGACGATACACATTTCATGCAGACTATACGTTTGCTCCAACTGCCGCTCGGAAGAAAGTGCTCAACTTCATGTGCGTTGCTCCTGCACTAAGGTACTTGGTTCTTGGTCTGTAGCACCAGTGTTTTTTTTGGGGGTCCTGGAAACAGAGAAAGAGCATCATTGTAAAGCTGTCAGAGCAATCAGCTGTTGCACAAAACCAAAATGCCACCCCCGAGCTGGAATTTCCCTCGTGACGAGTGGCTCTGCAGAGTGCTCCCCAAGCAGCCCGCACATGTTCGGTATGTCCTCAGGCTGGTTGGTGAGCCTGGTCCTGGTCCAAAACCCATGGATATCCACAAAATTAGGAGGGCTGGTGGTCTTGACTTTTTGACCAGCCTCTGGTTCAACTGGGACCAGGATCAGATCCACCCATCAGCTATGAAAAATGCTTGCCAATTGATTATCACCTGCATCAAACAAGCACCTCGCTGTAAAATTGTCTCACGAAGAAGCAGTTTGTTTCCCTCAAGGTGGGTGGTGAAAGCCCTACAAAGCAGGGGACCCAAGCTCCTGTGCTTCTCAGGAAGCAACCGGTACCTGTTAAAACAACCAATAGGAAAACAAGCCCAGCTAACAGATGCTAACCCCGATTTGAGAGCACCTCTCCTCTTCACTGCCCCCAGGAGACACCAGGAGGTGATGGTGGCACCAGGGCATTGGATGCCTGTTGGATCAGCTCTGGGCCCAGCTCTGTACCTGAGGTAGGCTCGGATGGGGGCATTCAAGAGCAAAGCCTGGGAGCTCTGGTAGGTGCTGCTGGACAGGTGATGGAGGGAAGGTCGGGTCTTGCTGAAGTGCAGAGGAAGAGATAGGGAAGGAAAGACCAGTAAGGAACACGGGAATCAATCTTCATTAGGAGACAGAAAGAGAAGGAGGATCTCGAGGGATGAGGAGAGATGTGTGATGGATGTGGAGGGATCTGTGAGGCTGTGGAAAGCAGATGGAGAGGCAGGAGAAAACTGCTCAGATTTAAAATGGGCAGCTTTGCATAGCAGTTGCATTAAGGGTCTGTGGCGATCCCAGTCTGTTCCCCAGCCTGACACTGCCTTTGCGTAGGCAGTGATTCCAGCCTGCAGCTTAAAGAAGGGAAGGAGAGGCTGACACCAGGAGCAGAAGAGTTGCTAGTTACAATCTCCTTGGCCCATGGAACCAGCCCAACCCAGACATGTGAGTCTAACCATCTCTGTGTGAGGCTCGTAGGGCAGGACCACGCTGACAGCCCTGGCAGGACAGTTCTTGCTCAAATACTCACCCTTGTCCTGCCCTTCATGCTTACAGCTGCAAGAAGCTGCTGGCAGATGTCAGCATGGCCTTTTCCCTGTGTCCTCAGTGTAGGAAAACTGTTGAGTCCTTCCAACCTACTAGTTCCTATGGGAATGAGGTAAGCCCAGCACCATAAATCAAGGGATCAGGAGAAAACGCAGGGCAGCTCCTCACTGGAAAGGTGCCCCAGTGTTGGTCAGACCAGGTCCATTCTGCTGATGCAGACAACTGCTAGGACGGGACCCCTTGCCTCTGGAGAAGGCTGGAGACATCTGCATGCCCTTGCCAGTGGAAAGTCTGGCCAAGGGCACTTGCACCGACAGGCTGGGCAGGTTGAAGGCTGCCAACATCTGCTCCAATTGCCACACTGCCCCCTCTGAGCAGGTCTTCACATCTGGTCTAGTAAGGGAGGATGCAGTAACTATGGGCCCTGAGCTCAGGTCTTCTTGTGGCAGTGTGCATGTGATGTTCCAGGCTGTAGGTTAGTCAATGCCAGACTAATCCCACCTCTTCCCTGGGTTTGGTGTCCAACCCTGCTCTCGTTTTTTGCCCTGCATTTCACAACAGAGTCAGAAAGCCAAAATAACCTCTCCTTGGAGGAACATAAGCTGTTTGAAATCACCCTCCATCAACATTTCCCTTAGCTCCTGCTAGAGTCACCAGGGGAGTTCACCCTCCTCAGCAGCCTCGATGTGGTACCTCTCTGTTGATGCCACCATGAAAGCTGATGCATGAGGTACGTGTTTGTGTGGTGGATACTTCATTTTAACCTGTTGGCTCTTTCCTCATGAGTGTGTGCATCCTTCAGCCATGTATTGCAGGCTGACTAAGACCCAGCCTCCTGGGGGAGAAAGAGGCTGTCCCCCACCCCCATCCCCTGGCCTCCTCTTTGTTTGCATCGAATACAAATAATTGTGTGGTTGTCCTTCCCAGTAAAGCTCATTCTGAACCTGTTTTAAACTGGAAGGGGTGTGAGGGAGGTAATTGCAATATTTTCCCCAGGAACTGGTATCCTGAGACAACGCAGCATTGCCCATCCTCTCCCCAGGAGGAGAACACCGTGGCTACTCTCTGCAGGGCTGCACAGCCAGGTCCAGCCCTGTGCACCAGCCTCGGGAAGGATGAGCTGGGAGGGTGCAAATCGGAGGGTTGAGAGGAAAGGCTGATTTTGAAAGGTAATGAGACCTGACACAGAAACAACAACAACATTTACAAATGGTCTTTGTCTTAGACAAGCAAGGAAAGCGCTTGGAGATCTTTGCCCTCACAAGGGCTGCTGGTGGCAAACTGTTGCTCGGTGAAACCCTTGTGTGTAGGAGAGGTTAATTATGTGACATGACAATGTGAGGAATGGAGAAGAGATGGATTGAGCTGACAGATCATTACTTGCGTTACGACTGAGAGAGCGATGCAGAAAGAGTACGGGTTCATCAGGGGTTTGTTTCCCAGAAGCAGCACCTCGTGTCTGGAAACACAGAAAGGATGAGCACCATGAGCACACGCAGCACAGTCTCCCCTTTGCTGGTGCTGGTGTAACAGCCGGCAGCACACTCGGATCAGCTAGTTCAGAGCAATGCTGATGGTTGCCATCCCACGCGAGGACTTTGCTTTTCAAACTTGGGGTCAGAACTTGCCTCTGACGGTGATGGGCTCCAGCAACATTATCGCATTCTTCATAGATACAGAGGACTTACTCATGGCTCATCCCTGTTCCTCTGTGGACTTGGGTCTTGGTGCTTTGATGGCCTGATATCAAATCAGAGCTGATGACATTTATCCTCTGCAACATTATCTTCATTGAAAGCTGTTTAACTATCTGGGAGCTGTTGTGCATCTGTATGGACAGATCCAACTCCAGGCACATGGAAAATCAAAAGCTGACTTCAAGAGCAATTAGAAGCACCAGGAATCCTCTCCTGCAACACAACCCCAGGCACACACAGCTGTGAAGTTCACAAAGAACTGTTTTTTGCGAAGAACCATGAAATATGGCCTTTCATTCCCAGAAGATTCAGGTGAGGACACAGGTCTCTTCTGTGGAGGAACTGATCTTCTTGTTAGGGCCCTCACCCAGGACAGTGGCAGGTTCACGTTGCTCAGAAGACACAAACTCATTGATTCTTGGGCAAACGCAATTAACAACTAGGTTATAGGACATGACGAGTAACTCCTCTCTTCTAAATGCCTTATAGCCCTTTGTGCATTGCAGCTTGCTGTGTTAACAGTGACAAAAATGCAAGTCTTCTTTGTCCTGGAAAATGGCCTTAATGATGCACTCAATATCTGGTGTTGGAAAAGGCAACAGCATCAAATAGTGAGGCTAAAGCTCAGGGAAATGAAGAATCCCAGCCTGGATTTGTATCTAAGCAAGCACAGGGGTTGTTATCACTTCCAGAGGTTGGGTGTGCCTTGGAAATATGCACAGTTTGGGGCCAGCAAGGGCAGAAGGAGACGAAAGTGTCTGACTGTGAAATCTGTCCTGATCTAAGCATGAGGTAAGCAGCAAGGAGCTCAGAACTTAGTCTGAACCGAGTTTAAACCACTGTCCATCTGCAAAGCAGCATTCAATGTACCACCAAGGTCAGCTAAGGACCTCAGTGGCATGCAAAAATATTGTCCTAAATATCATTCAGTCCCTAAAACTGTGCAGCTGAGATTTCTGGCTCCTATTTTAGGCTTTTTTAGGGTTTTTTTCACTCATGGAGTCTAGAGTTTGGAGGAAGAGCTGTCAGCACTGTGAAAGCAGGTGGGAGCAGGCCATGGGGACACACGGAGAAGGATGCAGGATATTACCTACACCAAGGCATCCACTTTCCCACTGCCTCTTTCCAGTATCTACACTGAATCTACACCCCATATCTACACCCTAGAGCCTGGAGATGCCAAGTACAGATGCAGGTCTCACTTGTTCTAGATGAAATCTCCAGGCTCCTCACTGAGGACTGGACCTCCCTTCTCTCTCGTCACTTGAGGAAGCTCAGGGGACCAAGAACTGCTTGATCCTTCTCCCATCCATGTCCACCAACCAGGTCCAGTTTGGCCTTGAATTAAGTCTTCAGACCTAAATTCTGCAGATGGGCCACAAAACCAGACTGATGGCCATACTGTGATGAGTCGTCTCCTTTGCTTTTCTGGCAGGGTGGTGGCACGCTACCTGCAGTGAGGGTCACAGTAAGAGTAGAGGAACCGAGCTGCTCCTGCAACTTCCCATGTGTGTGTGGAGCAGCTGGGAAGAAGCACTATCTCCATAGCTCCAGCCAGCACACACCAAACTAGCACCTTCAGGCAATAAATTAGGATAAGGAGGGAGCCAGGATTCACCTGAGACTTAGTCACAACTGGGTGCTTGCTGTACTCACAGGTTGGGGGGGACCACGGGCAGGTCTAGTCCTAGCCTGGGAAGGAGAAGGAAGATGTTCAGGGCACGCTGTGAACTGCAAGAAGCCTCCTGGGCATCCATCTCTGAAACATGTCCTGCTGCTAAGCCAGCTTCTGCTTGGATTTCCACTGACACACTTCTGCCCACTGTCTCCTGTAATGTGCTGGGAAATGCAGTTCCTTTAATATTGGCTGCTTCTTCTCTGGCTACAAGATTTCTCCTTCATTCTCCTCAGTTGCTGTGTTTGTGCAGCTACCTGTGAGCCCAGGACATCTCTGCACAAAGCTGGGGAAAGGCCAACCTCTTTATCAGATGCACCAGAATTGCAAAGGACAGAAGGTCACACAGATCTGAATACGCCAGGCTCCTACACAGACAACAAAGCTTGTCTCTGCAGCTGTGAAAAAAAAAAGGAAGGTACCAGGGAACAAAAACATGAGCAGAGTCATCCCAAA